TCATATGTGTCACAACCTCACACATGTCACAGCCTCACACATGTCACAACCTCACACGTCACAGCCTCACACATCACAGCCTCATATGTGTCACAGCCTCACACGTCACAGCCTCATATGTGTCACAACCTCACACATGTCACAGCCTCACACATGTCACAACCTCACACGTCACAGCCTCACACATCACAGCCTCATATGTGTCACAGCCTCACACGTCACAGCCTCATATGTGTCACAACCTCACACATGTCACAGCCTCACACATGTCACAACCTCACACGTCACAGCCTCACACATCACAGCCTCATATGTGTCACAGCCTCACACGTCACAGCCTCATATGTGTCACAACCTCACACATGTCACAGCCTCACACATGTCACAACCTCACACGTGTCACAGCCTCACACATGTCACAGCCTCACACGTGTCCCAGTGGTCATGTGTGCTGGAACAAGCTCCTCTGCCCCATGGCTGACAGACAGACCTCCCCCCAGGGTTGTCTCCTGAATTTGCCCAGAACACCATGATTTGTGGAGCTGTTCAGGGCAAGTCAGGGAGAACAAGGAATGGGAGAAGACTCTGTCTCTGGCTGCCAGTTCACGGGATGGAGAATCCCAGTGGCTCAGGGAGGGGCTGGAAGCTGCTCCCAGAGCTGCCCCAGAGGTTCTGCTGCTGGTGCCAGTCCCTGCCAGAACCAGGCTCATCCTGCAGCACGTGTTCCCCTCAGCCAGAGACCAGAGCCTGTTCCATGCAGCAGGTCCCAGGAGGATTCCCAGGTGTCAGGGCAGAAGGATGTGTGAGCTGAGTGGATGGGAACCAGCCCTGGGCAGTGACAGCAGACTGGGTCCCAGCCAGGGCTGAGGATCTCCAGGCACCTCCTGAGGGGAACCTGCCTGGCAGGGAAGGATTTCTGTTTACAAGATGATAAACCCAAGTGTTTTCCCAGCTCCTTCCCACTCTCCTTCACTTCATATCCTGGCAATTAGCTAGACAAACCTCTATTTCCATGAAAACTCAGGTGTTTGGGGGTTTGACCCAGTTTTAGAGATGAGACAGCTCCAGATCTAGATTGCCACCAGACCAGGGCTTCTGGTTTAGGGTCAACTCCATTGGAATGGCCAAAGGCAAGTGCTGCAGTAACATTGTGGCCTAGTGGGTTTTTTTTGGCAATTTAATTAGGAGCTTGATCTGGGTTTGGGGCAGGACACAAAGTGGATTAGGGGAGCAGAAGGCTCTGTAATTAGGGCCATGTCTCTGTCGTTAGAGTTTACCCTTTGCTTGCCCAGAGGCAGTGGCAGCAGGGACAGCCCCAGTGCAGTGGGGTGTGAGCACTGGGCAGGCACAGTGGGGACTGGGAATGCTCTGCTCTTGCTGGGACCCCACTGCAGAGCTCCCACAGCACCAAGTGGGAATGGTGACATGTTATTTAGAGACCAGGGCCTGGGGTAAATATTTGTTTAGATTCCAAAGCTTAATCTGCTCCTGGCGGGTTGTGTGGAAAGCCTGAGCCCCCAGTCCTCCTGCAGCAATTTATATCCTCCATCTCCTCTCCTTCCCAAACACATTCCCCAGGATTAATTCTGCAGAAAATGGGCAGAGGCTGAGTTCAGACCCTGTGGCTCCGTCTGGTCCCAACCATCCGGGCAGGCATCCTGCCCTCGGGCCCTGCTCCCTCACCCCATCCCACTGGCATCCAGAAACCCAAGCCTGGTGCCTCAGGGCTCGGGGTGGTGACACAGGCTGGGACAGCAGGATGGGAATGATGACAGCTGAGCTGTCCTGCCTGGGGACAGCAGAGCTACCCTGTGAGCAGCCACCTCTGTCACACCACAGGGTCTGTTCCCACCCAGAACAGATCCTTATGGAGGATAAGGACAGGGACACTGGAAGGATGTTCATGTTGGGCAGCACTGCCTGATGGACACAGCCTCCCCCTGCCCTGGGCTTGGGGCAGCTGAGACTCAGAGCTCCTGCAGGAGAACCTCTAATGCTCCCAAGAGCCACCCAGAGCAAGGAGCACAGCTCCTGGAAGAAAACCCTCTGCCCAGCCAAGAGAAGAGTTAGCATTCCATGTACCATTTTTATTTTGACACATATATTACATAATTTAAAAACAGAGTATTTGTGAGAGAAATGTGTGGTTTTTTTTCAGATAAAAGCAACCCACCGTGTCCCACACAGCCCCTTTGCTACCATTCGAAGGTGCCCTGCAGACAGCTCCTTCCCCCCCTCCTGCTGCCACTGGCACAACTTGTGGTCTTCCTCTCCCCCTGGAAAGAGATGTACCTGTCCCTCCCCTCCAGAGCCAGTGCAAAGTGCCCTTTCCTGACCCATCACACACCCTGTCCCCCTCCTGCAGCACTGGGAGAGACCCGAGTCCTCCTGGAGAGGTGGAGGAAGGAGCTGTGTGGACACTGCACTTGGACACTGGGAAAAAGGCAAGGAAGAGCCAGAGCTGACAGTGACCATGTGGTTTCAAGTACAGGTGTGAAAGGCATCACACAGAGCTGCCACCAGACCTGCCCAGTCTCTAGGGCAGCACTGGGTTTTGGCAGGGATGGCTCAGGTTCAGCTCACAGCATGAGGAAGGGCTGGAAGGAGAGGTGATCTGACCAGCAAACAGCTTGGGCAGTTTCCTCTATCCAGAAAGAAAGAGTTGGAAGACAATGAGATTTAAAATGCTCTCAAATAGGCTCAGTAAACGAGTCTCTTCCTTTGGGCTCTCATCCCTTTGCTATGCACTGTCACCAATCCTGCTGCCAGCCACGAGTGACCTGTGTGCCAGCTCCTGTGCTGTGTGCCCTGAGCTCCTCTGGGCCGAGAAATCCTCGCAAACATCTCGTGTGGAGCTGGCACAGAGGCACACGGAGCCACGAGGTAGCTGGGGCTGTGGCCATGCACTGACAGGACACAGCAGCACACACTCACACGGTCCCAGGTCAAGCTCCTTTCCACCTGGTAACCAGTGCCAGGGGGAGGTGAGAGCAGAGGGAGGTGAGGCACTGACATCCTGAGACAATCCTCCCTGCAAATCCCCTGAGAAAACAGCTACAATGGAAATTCTCCTTTGTACAGCACCTATTGAAGAGTTCTCTTCCCCATCCTGGTGTCCCAGACCTCACTAGGGCTCAATCCTCTACCAAAAATCTGAAAACTAGTCTTCATTTGAAGCCTGCTGGGCCTACAGCTACATTTGGTTTGTTAAGGGGAAACACTGTCTGGGAGATGGGAATAAATGACGAGCAGCAAAAGCTCTGCCCAGTCTGTTAGAGTTCCAGGAGTGTGTCTGAAGTAGTGAATGAAAGCTGATGTGCTGTTGTTCCTTTCCCAAGGCCCTCTGAAAAGTCCTGCTGGAGACACAACCCAAGCAGAGAACCAGCCCAGAGGACAATGATTTGGCCATGAAGTGGCTGATTAGGAGAAAAGGGAAATAACGATTAGTGGTTCATTTCCACCGTGGCAAAAAAGCTCCACCTGCTGGTGCTGAGACCCGAAAAAAGGGTGGGAACCGCAGGTCGGACTGGGGACACTGGTTCACAGCACGGAAGGGTCTTGACTTGAGGGAATCCCAACTGGGAGGAGGGTGGCACAGTGGGAGATGAAGCTGCGTGTGGATAAATGCAAGGAAAAGCTCTTGCAAGGAGCTGGGTGGGCTCAGGGGAGTCAGGCTGGGCTGCTCAGAGCCAGCACAGCCCCCAGACCTGAGCACAGAGCCCTGCACGGGGCACACAGAGCACAGAGAGGTAGAAGAGCAGTAATATAGGGAATATTTTAATGCCTTTCTATAAAGCACAGTCCAGAGCATTCCCAGCAGGGAAAGGGATACTGCAGGATCAAGCAGGGGTAAAATGATAAGCTCAGAAAGATGCTGATAGGCAAATGGGCTAAAAGGTTTGCTACTCTGTTAAAAAGAGGCAGGAACAGGAGTGGTACAAGGGTCAGGCTGGTCCTGCCGAGGCTTGGCAGCTGCCAGGGGAGAGGAGGGAGCTGTGCTGCCCCTGAGCTCGGGCAGGATGTGGAATAACCAGCTTAAGCTCCCTGCTCTGCAAAAGTCAGGAAAGTCTGGGATAGGAGTGGAGTTTGCTTCCCTCCCTGCCCCCAAAATCATGTTCAAGCATCAGCCACGAGCAGAACAAGGTCAAGTCTCTTCCCACAGACTCTGTGCCCAGAGGAGCCTGATCCTGCCCCGCTGAGCTCACGGCAGAGCCGCTGCAGGGTGGGATGTGCAGCTCCAGTGCCTCCCATGGAGACTCAGAGAGCCCCTGGACACAGCCAGGTGGGCAGGGACCTGCCCCCACCACCAGGCACCCCACAGGCTTTTAGTGTTTGGGAACCTGCTGGTGCTTCCCAGGTGTGCTGAGCTCGTGGGGGGCTCTGAGGCTGCCCCCACCAGCCCTGGGGAGCTGCATGTGTCCAGGTCCAGCCCCTGCCAGAGCACAGGCAGGCAGTGTTTCTATCCAAAGGGGTGGGGGTACTTGCTAGAAGGCCAGAGAAGGCTCAAGTCCTGGGCTGGGGAGCAGAGGGAGGCGAAGAAGCTCTGTGCAGACTGAGCTGCCCTGCCCCGTGACACAGCTGCAGCAGCCAAGGCTGCAGTGCCTCTCAGACACAGCACTGGGCTGGGCTGGAGCTGTCAGCAATGAGGAGGAGCTCTGCACCTGCCCAAGGGGTGGACAAGACCCACACACACATGCCCTGGCATTGTCACACACCTCTGTTCCTCCAGAGGAGCCCGGGGGTCCCTGCAATGCCCCAGCACAGCGATGCCCCATCCTTGGTGAGACACCAAACAGACAACAAAGCAGAACACTCCCACCCCACCCACTTCTCTCCGTGGCTCCTGGGGGGGGCAGAGGCCCCGGGCCCTGCGGCGGGAGGGTCACAGGTCCAAGCCACACTCTCCCGGAGGTTCCTCCAATCACCCTCTCTCGGGAGACGCCAATGCAGAGCAGAGGACTGAGAGTGAGCTTGGCCAGACCCTCCCAGCCCCTGCCCCGTCAGGACCTGAAGAAGCGTCGTACCACCAGGTGCCCCACCACGATCAGGGCCACCACCACCATGTACTTCATGTAAACATTGTCCAGATCCAGCGCAGCCACCTGACAGGGAACAGAGAAAGCAGAGGTGTCAGAGCTGCTGGGGGGACACACTCTGTGCCCCGTGCCCCAAACTTTGTGAGCCCTGCTCACCCATCCTCCCTGCTGGGCGATCCAGTGGGCGATGCGGTTCTGCAGCATGAACTCCCCCACGTAGCGCGCGATGCGGCGCAGGAAGCCGGTCAGGCCGTGCTGGTACACGTGGAGCGCCATGCGGTACCCGAAGCCCAGCAGAGCGATCACGCGGCCCCAGTTGATGCCACTCTCGAAGAGGCTGCAACAAAGCCACGGGCACGGCTGAATCCTCGCTCAGAGATCCTCACTCGGCGTCCTGGTGCTGCTCAGGCCGAGCGATCTCGAGCGGCGCCGCCAGGACGAGAGGAAACGGCCCCAAGTTGCGCCAGAGGAGGTTTAGGTTGGATATTAGGGAAGATTTTTTCACTGAAAGGGCTGCCCAGGGCAGTGATGGAGTCATTTAACAGACATGTATTTGTGGACATGGCTTAGTGGTGGCCTTGGCAGTGCTGGGAAACAGTTGTTTAGACTCAATGATCTTGGAGGGCTTTTCCAGCCTAGAGGGTTCTGTGATTCTGTGGCTGCAGGGCTGGGGATGCTGCACCAGCCCTTGAGGCTCATCCCAGCCACACAGACATAGTGATTTTGTGGCTGGAAGAGGCTCCCAAATGTGTCTACTAGATGCTCCTGCTCCAGGGTTTGGCTGCTGTGGGCAGGTTTGGCACCAAGTATCTAGACCAGTTTTTGAAGGTGTTTTCCCTGGTTTCCAGCAAGGCAAGCAAGAAGGGAACAAAAGGAATAAAAGCATAATACAAAGAGCAGACTGAGGCCTTGTGTTTAATGTGCTGCCCCGTGCTGGGGGTCCCTGCCTGCACTGCTCCCTGCAGAGCCCTGGCACGGAGGGCCAGGGCAGTTAGAGCCTGGGAGGGAACACAGAGAAGAGGCAGCAGGAGGAGAGGGACAGGGGTTAATTTACCTGTGTGCGGCGCGTTGCCGCCTCAGCCAGCGCCACTTCCCGGGCAGGGGAGCAGGAAAAGGACAGAAGAGAAGCTGTTAGACACAAACACTGAGCAGAGGGTGCAGGGATGGGGCTGTGCTGAGCCAGGTGTGCTCAGAGGAGCAATGGGAACCCAGAGACACCTCCTGCCTCTGCCACAGGTCTTCTGCACCACCCTGGCAAACCACTTAACACGCAGACTCGTCGGTGTGTCCCAGTGGGACCAGCAGCAGCTCTGCCCTGGTCCAGGGCTGGTTGTACCCCTGAAGGGGCTCTGGGACATTCCCTTGGCTGTGTGTCCCAGGCACATCCCCAAACTTTGTGAGCCCAGTCAGTGTGAGATGTTTCAGGGGAAGACTGTCCAAACAGTGCACAGGAGGAGGAGCAGATCTGTGAGCCCAGTCAGTGTGAGATGTGTCAGGGGAAGACTGTTCAAACAGTGCACAGGAGGAGGAGCAGACAGGCAGAAAACGCAGGGACCATCACGGGGAGCTCACACGAGGTCAGCCCAGGGGAAGACTGACTGGACAGAGTCTGTGTGCTGGGGCAGAGCCAGGGAGGGCGTGAGGGTCGGACCCACAGCACTGCACCCCCCGACCTCCTCTTCCCCAGCCTCCCCATGGAGAAGGTGTCCAGCTCCTGCTGGTGGCCCTACCTGGAGGCTATCGTGGTGAAGTGCTCGTAGGCATTGCCCTTGGTGGGCTGCAGGGTCTCCAGCATCTTGCGGAACTCGGCGTCGTATCGCCGGTAGATGTCGTCGCCGATGATGGCCAAGCGCTGTCCCACCTGGCTGCCCGTGCTGCAGGGACAGCAGGTCAGCACGGGGCAGCAGCTCCCAGGGAGGCTCTGTCGCCCAGCCTGGCCCAACACGGGGCTGAGGGACATGCACAGGGTTGGTGCCAGAGACTTACCTGTCCAGGTCCTGCTTGATTTGCTCAATCTCTGTGTCCCTGGGCAGTTCCTCCCCTCTCTCCTCCCTCTCCTGCTGGTAGCGGTGGAAGACATAGCTGCAGAACACCTCCTCTGTCTCCTCCACCACCTGGTCCTCTAGGGACACAAGAGGGACAAAAGTCAAGGCAGAAGCTCATCTCCCCCCACTTTCCCAAGCTGGAAGGAGACCATTCCCTCATTTCCAGCCTGAATTTGGGCTGTTTGTATGAACACCAGGCTTGTGCAGTAAAGAAACGGAAAGCCCCAACATAAATTAGAAGCTAATTTTGACGGCAGTGGTGTTCCTAGGGGCACAGCCCACCTTTGGAATCCAGTTCTGGCAAGAGGCAGCCCCAGGACTGTCACAACACAAACCAGATGTTCGAGCGCTTGGCAGCTCTCTTCCCGCTCCAGAAGGACATTGCTCAGCACAAACAATCCAGGAATCCTGGATCCAAACCCAAACTGGAGGCAGAGCTTAGCCTAGTGTTACCCAGAGCAGCTGGAAGTGTCCAAGGCCAGGTTGGATGGGGCTTGGTTGAAGGTGATCTTTAAGGTCCTTCCAACCCAAACCACTCTGGGGTTCTATGACCAACCTTTGGCAAACAACCTTGTTTTTTGGTCCCTGAGGGCTGTGTGACACCAGCAGTGACGTGGTGAGCAAAACATTGGTCATGTTAGTGTAATTCCTTGGTGGTTCAATCACACCCTGGCAACACCACCCACAAAGTCCCCAGAACACATCACCTGCTCCTTGCAGAGTGTTCTGGCTGGTCCCACCTCCATGCCCTGCTGGGGTGCAGGGCCAGGCCAGGACCTTTGTGCTCAGGTGAGCCCAGGCTGGGTAAACAAGGCTGAAGGGGAATGACAAGTCCCTGTGTTTTCAGGGGTTGTTTTTTGTTTTGCAGAAAGGGGTTCATTTGGTGGCAAACAAATGCCTTCTGGGATGTGTTTGTCCCTCCCTCAGGGGCTGAGGAGCCCCAACGGCTCCACTGAGAGGCACAAAACGAAACCGACTGACTCAGAGTTTCAGGGAGAGAAGAGCAAACACACAGCCAGACAGAAGAGGAAATTGGTGCACAAAAAAACCCTTCCTGGCTCTTATTACCCCAGGCACTACTTTTAGTAACACAAGGACAGAACACATCATCTTCCCCCAGGTGCTACCCCCAGCACCCACCTGGGACCCTCTCGGGGTGATACCTATTGCCTGTCCACAGCAACTCCATGAAGGATCCAGAGCTGATCAGGGTGGTAACTGCACTGTGCTGGCATAATCCTGCCCAGCTCGTGCCTGGGAGCAGAGCTTCCAGACAGGGAAGTGGACAACTGCCAGCCCAGAGGAATCTGCACAGCACAACCCCTTCCCTCACTCTGCTCCTCAGAACAAGCCTCTTCCCACCCCAAAGAGGAGCAGCACTCCCAACTGCCTCCCTGAGAGCCAAACAGCCTCAGCTGTAAGACAGGAGTTCGTCCATCGATAAGGGATATTCTGGACTGGTCTCAGGAAACCTGCTTGAATCCTTGTGTTCAATCACGTCCCACCTTTCCACGAGCTAAGATGTTTCTCCTCCCCATCACACACTGCCAGGTGCACGATGTTCCTGACTTTGTCTACAATGCCCTAAAAATACCAGAGGAGGAAACTACCACCAGCCTAGACAGGACAACAGCAGCTTGGCCATGCCTAGCAACTCGGACAAGGACTCACAACGATGCTCAATCAAGTCCCTGAGCAGCAGATAAATCTCTTCTGCATCCAGAGATAAGCAAACATCAGGTGAGGCCCAAATGAAATCCAGGCTCGGCCCCTGTGACAAATCCTCCTTCCCCCCTGCAATCCCACACCATGTCTGGTGCAAGCTGCATGTTCCTGCTTCCCCTGGAGTCCACGAGGCTTCTGCCATGCAGAGATCCCACCTCCAACTTCCAGAGGAACCCCCTGAGTTTTGGGAAGCAGAGGGGTGTCAGGACTTCCAGTAAGTGTCTGCAAGCATACAGGAACTGTGACTGTAACCCAGTGTGGTCAGAGCTCAGGGCCTAACCCTCTCACTGGTTTTTCCATCAGCATCTCATTGGCCTCAACAGGAAATAAATCCACGCAAACAGCTGCTCCTGTTTGTGTATTTTCATACCTCCTGGACTTTGTCACAGGAAGGACAGGGGGTTTTCCCTTCCAGGATATTCACCAGATCCAGCACAAATGGGACTCTGAGGTGGAGAGACCAGGCAACACCAGAGGACACCTTCCCCTGGAGCAGCTAGCTCCAAGCCCCATCCAGCCTGGCACCTCCCAAGAGCATCGAGCACGTGCTCTCCCAGTTCAACTCAGCAATTACAGAGCCAGTCTGTTATCCCAGCTGGGAGGAGAGCCCTGGAGGTAGGAAACTCCATCTTCTGAAAGGAGCACGGCAGGAGAACAAAAACCAGAACGAAGGGCTGAAGCTGCTTTGCCCCCAGAGCTCCCAGCACGTCCCTACCTGAGTTGAGCTCCTGGTTCAGCCTGCGCCCGGTGCTCCCGCGGCGTCCGTGGGCCTGCGGAGCATCCCCATCGCTCCCCGAGGCCATTGCAGAGAGCTGCTCGGGAGGGTCAGCGTCACCTGGGGCAGCAAAGGCAGATGGGGATGAGCTGGCAGCCAGCAGAAGGCTGGAGCCCTGTGCCCCCTCACAGTCTGAGGAACCCCTTGGGCTGGGAACGCTGCTTTTATCTGCCAGCGACCTGGCTCCTCCCTTCCTGGCACACTCATCCCTCGCTCGGGCCATGTAAGATTTCTGCTCAGTGCTTTGACTGCACTGGATTTCTCCTCTCGTGACTCTCGCACTGACTCACCACGCTCTGTCCTGCAGCCCTCGGCTCACCTGCAGCAAAATCCCAGCACGAAGGGCTCCCCAGGACTCCCCGGGTGGGACTGTGGCTGGGGCTGAGCCATGAGCTCCCAAAATGTTGCTGCCAGATTTCTACAGGGCTGAACTGGTGGCTTTCCTGGTCTGTACCAGCTCTGAACTCCTGACTAAGGCATGACCCATGACAAGGACACTCAGGAATTTCTGTTGCATCCTGGGCAAAAATTAAGAAAGCACCAATAAATATCCACCTGTGTCAACTCTAGAAGCGCAGCATGTGGTTCAAGCTTACACACTGGAGTTTGTTCAGAAGAGTAACTGGAGCCTATAGCAGCACTGGGAAGCTCAGCCTGAGCAGGGTGGGATGGAGCTGGAAGCAGAGCTGCTCCTCCTGGTTAGAGCTCCATGGGACACTCACAGCTGCACTAGGAGTCTGAGCCATGGGGACACACTGCTGGAGATGACGGTTTTTTCCTAACATACCACTGAGGACAGGATTTCCTTTTCCTCCCCAAGTTCAAACATCCCCATGCAAGGAAGAGCAGCTGGGACCGAGAGCAGAGCTGGGGCAGAGCTGGGTCCTGCCTGCCCAGAGCAGCAGAGACCCAGAGCTGCTCCTCTCCTCACCCTTCCCTGCCCCGGGGAGGCACAGAGAGCTCAGGCTGCTCCTGGGGCAGATGCAGTGTCCATTGCCTCCTCCACAGGGGAAGCCTCTGGTGCTTCCTCCACTGCCATCATAGCCCCAGAAGGTTTGAGCTGAGCCCACCTGCCCCGGGAGGGCTCAGGGGGAGTGGGAGTGAGCCCAGGCTGGGAGCAGCTCTCTGGAGCTGTGGGTTCCCAGAACAGGGTGAATTTCCAGTGTACCCAGAGGGCACAGAGTGATGGGGATGATGTGACACATCCAGACAAAGAGCTCAGCATCCTCCGGAGCTTTTACAGCTCAGCCTGCAGGTACAACGGGCTGTGTCACACCGACCCAGACCTCGGGAGGGACAGGGACTTTCGGGGCAGCCCTGGCTGCTGGGGATCAGGCAGCCCAGCACAGGAGCCCCAGGAGCAGCTGACTCATGAGATTCTCAGCCTCGCGTTGGGCCAACCCTTTGAAGCCACTGCAGAGCTTTCGTTTTCAGTTTCCTTCTCAGCGCTGGCGCCTGCAGCCTCTGCTCCGGCGCCACAGGCCACCACAGCCCTGTGCACACACAGCTCCGGGACCAGCAGCTCTGTCCCCTCCAGGACACTGCGGTCCCCAAAGTCCCCACCTGCTGCTGCAACCACGGCAGCTCCCTGCGGGGCTCAGAGAGCTCAGAGCATCCTCTGCGGATGCACTGCCCACACTCCTCCTGCTCCCCAGCCCTCCTGACATGCTCCATCCCCTGCCCCGTGGGAACACCGTGCTGGAGAACAGGGCAGGGCGTGAAGGAGGATGTGACACATACCCTGAGAGACAGCCCAAGGCTGCAGAGAATGAAAACCCTCCAGAAGTTGAGACAGGGCTCCAGGGAGGGTTTGGGGGAAGCAGGCGAGGAGCTCTGCTCTCCTAAGAGGCTGCAGAGGGTTCAAAGCAGCAGCCAGCACCGAGGCTGTAGATTTAGCTACACCTCCAAGGCAGCACAGGACTCTGATCTTCAATTAATGTGCACATGCCATGCAAAGACTCAACCTTCCCGGAACCTTCCCCATAAAACAAAGACCTTTGGCTCAACTGCTTCTCATGGTATCCTCGTGTCCTCTTCTTAAAGGTGTCTGACACATTTCCTGTTTGTCTCTACAGCACACTCACCGCTCCTCCCCACTTTCCTTCAAATGAAAGTTCACCCTGGGTGCAGGGAAGGTGGTGAACCTGGCCCAGAGGAGGAAGCAGATCCACGAGGGATCCAGAACAGACACAACCCCCATGGCCAAGCCCTTACATGGGCTCTGGGGTCACCCCCGACGTGCTGTTAAGATCCTGTTCCAGGAAATGCATGGACTATCCTCTGGGACAAGCCTTTCACAGGTCTGGCCCTGGGCCCATGCCTGGGAGTGATTCCATCCCGCGGCACAGGGCAGGGAGTCCTCTCCAGGAATGAGATCCCCAAGGACTCCTGTGCCCATTGCCAACCCTGCACGGCCAGGCCTGGTCCTCTCCCCTGCCCCAGGGCAGCAAACAGGTGAGTCTGCCCAGTTTGGTGTCTGCCCACCCAGCACAGCCCCAGGATGGGCAAACAGCTCTCAGC